AGTTATCCCTGCTGTACTATACCTAGAAAACAACTCTGTTTCATGCAGTATTTCAACTACCATTTCACAGCTCCGAATGTATTACACGCTGGCAGAGAATACCTGCCAGGTACTAACAGACTGACACAGCTATGAAGGTTTTCAAGCGTCCAACAAACAAACAACTTGCTGTACATTAGAAGATTACCTGCAAAGGCTGATTCTCGGGAGTTGGATTGGTTTTGGACAGCTTAACCATCTCTTTTATCTGGTAGACAGCATAAGCTAAGGTGACCCAAGGAGAAGAGCTGATGCCCCAGGCAGGCTTGTTCACGTCCTCTTGCTCTTCTTGGTGTTTCGTTTTCTTCAGAGGGAGTCTGGGCTCAGTTCGAGGCATGATATCGTCCGACTGCTGTTGGACTAGGTCAATCGTTGCTATAGGAACAGGACTGGAAGGCACTGGGATCCTTTCCGCCAGCATTGTCTTTTCTGAAGTTTAAAACAAAATAATCACTGGCAAAAGCCAACAAGCTTAAAAAAAAGCAAAGCAGACAATGAACACCAAGTGTTTCTTGCTTTCATAATATGGTTATCACTGTACTGACAGCAGAACCCCGGCACCAACAGCCGGGAGCGAGGCACGCCACGATCTAGTTAGGGCAGCACGGATGCTGCCCGTGCCAGCAAGGCTGTCCGCAGGAGCAGCGAGGTATGCCAGTCAGGCGGCTGCGTGGACACGACGGGCTAAGCGGCATGGAGCGGCCCACTTGGGCCCAGCTAGCTGTGAGAAATGCCTGTTTTCTTGTTACATGGGCATTTCAAAGGAGTCATTTTCATGCTGTATGCAAAGTGAAATAAGTCTTGCAGACCTGTAGGAAAGTTATTTCTCTGAATAAAGCCCCTTACAACTCACTCTTAGCTGAACACTGGCTTCAAACAGGAGCCATTCGGTGAAGCCCCATGGCCTACAGCATCAGAACAGCTGTTTCTTAGAACTTCTAAACCTGCTGAATTGACTTAAAATAGTTGTTTTACACCTTCATCACCTTTTTTTATTTAAGAAACAAACCATCCCTCTATAGTTACTATAGAGTTACGCAGTTAGTGGGTGACCTCTAAGGTTTTCTGACTATCTGAAATAGTTTTTACAACTGTCTTGACATGTCACCCATAAAATGACTGTCATGATCCAACACAATTTGCCTTGCAATCTTGAAGAGCCAGAGCATTTATATCCGAAAGGTAATTAGGCAGACTGTTAGAAACTGTTAGATATTTTAAGCAATCATAGAATCATAGAATCATAGAATGGTTAGGGTTGGAAGGGACCTTAAAGATCATCTAGTTCCAACCCCCCTGCCATGGGCAGGGACACCTTCCACTAGACCAGGTTGCTCAAAGCCTCATCCAGCCTGGCCTTGAAGACATCCAGGGATGGAGCATCCACAACATCTCTGGGCAACCTGTTCCAGTGCCTCACCACCCTCTCTGGGAAGAATTTCTTCCTGACATCTAATCTAAACCTCCCTGATTTCAATTTATACCCATTCCCCCTTGTCCTATCACTACAGGCTCTTGTAAAAAGTCCTCTCCCAGCACCCTTGTAGGCCCCCTTCAGATACTGGCAAGCTGCAATGAGGTCTCCTCGGAGCCTCCTCTCCTCCAGGCTGAACAAGCCCAATTCTTACAATAGCTGTATGTTCTCTACAAGTCCATAAGTAACATATTCTGTAAAGTTTCAGAACATATTTTTTCTGAGTAGAAATATTTTACCAATCAAAAAGGGTTTTTTTTTCCAAATTATAAAAACATATTTTGTTTATAAGCTCTTAGATAGTCCTGCACATTTTAAGCAAACACTGGATGTCCTCTGATAGTGAAGAAATGACGAGCCTGATTCTGCACACACTTGACCACATGCTTAGTTTTACTCATCCAACTGGTCTTGTTGAAAGCAACCTGATCACTGCCACGCTTAAAGTTAAGATACACACTCTTAAGATGGATAGTGTGTATTAAATGAAAGATTGAAACAGGCTAAATAGAATAAGGCCACTAGGAACAAACTATTCTTTTGTAAGTTCACGTGTAATTAACCAAATGTGATGGGAAACGGATGCAGAAAATGCCCTTTTCAAGCTGCCTCTTTTTTTTTTTCCCCCCCCATTATTTGCATGGAGGTGAAGAAAATTCTAGCAAAATAAATATTTGAACAGTTCAGTACAGGCAACTTGATAACTACTCAAGGACAATTAATATCATATTCCAGCTAAAGAAATATAACTTTCATTTAATACCTAAAGCTCATACTGGAAAGTAACATTTGACTAAGAAGCAGCTCAAAAATTCATGACTTCTCAGAATTTGCCACAGTTTTATTGTCTTTATAAGAACTGGATTTATGCTAAGTCCCTAGCTTTGCACTAGGCATTTCATTTCCGTGTAGCCTTTATATTCATAAAGGTGGAGATGAAAGGTTTGAGTTCTACCTGAGGGGAGATTTCTCAGATGCTAGAACAGAACTGAGTCAGCTGTAAAAGTCTGTGTCCTCTGAAGCCCTCTACAATTTCTGGCAGAGGTGGCTTGGACTGGTAGAATACGAGAGCGTGCAGTGGCCAAGGTGACCTTAAAGAACTGATGCAACCGCAATGACTCACCATAGTTGTTAAAAGACTAACCTAGGGAATTCCCAGAACTGAGAGGACATACAGGGAGTAAAATACGTTATGCTTTCCTCCTATCGAGATCCAAGAACCCACCGCTGCCCTTCTTACAGCATGAGCACATCACCTCAATTTCTACCATTACTCAGAAAAACACTTCTCACTTGAAAACAAATAGATTTGTTAAAAATATGAGTCAAGAAAGCAAGCATACGAATTAAAGCTGCAGGGCACAGCTTCAGAGAGGCTTTTTTTCACTAGCTCTAATTTTGTAGTGTGTCAGTGACACGAGTATTTACCTTCTTCTTCATCAGGAACCAACAGCCACTGGATCAGTGCAAATAGAAGGAGAATCACCAAACAAGCCATCCCTATTCCTCTGAATGTGGCAGCAGGACCTGTGATGAGATTATTTGGGGTTTTTTTACATGGAGAATCTACTTACTTAATAAAGTAACGCAGACGAGTCAGCATCATGTGTTCCTTGGGTAGGCATTGTCCCATGCACACTCTGACTAGCTTGTTTCATTACATTTACCTCCCCCAACACCTCTTCAGCAGGCTTTGCGAAGGATTTTTAATCAAGTAATTAGATTCTCAGTTGTTCAACGAGAGGCTGCGTAGTATCAATCTGTTCTCTCACAAAGGATTCATTCATCTTGCTTAGGGACCGGGTTGGATTTGCTCACACAATACTAAAAATACCTAGGCATAACATTTTTAATCAATCTGTACCACTGGCAGGACAAAGCCCTAAGCAACCTTGTCTGAATTCAGTGCTAACCTCACTTTGATCGGGGCCTGGACTGGAGATCTCCCGAGGTCCCTCCCGCCTGAGCACGATTTATACGAAGTGCATTACTCTTTAAAATATAACAATACCTGAGGCATAAATAAGTTCACAGCTGGTAGTTCAGTAGAATCACAACGTCAATAAATAAAATAAAATTCTTTTTTTTTTTTGCTTACCAAAGTAATTGACCAAAACCCCTCCGACCATAGCCCCGCATCCTCTGCCCAGACCCAAGTGGAGACCCTGCAGGATTCCCTGGGCCGACGTTCTCAGCTCCGGAGGCACTGCCGCGCTCAGGTACGAAATACAAGCTGCCCATATAGCCGCGTGCGTGACACCTGGAGAGAGGAAACATCGCCAAGAGTACAGGGTCCCAAGCGTGCTAACACAGCCTCAGAGCCACCCACTCATCAGCCTGAGCGCGCGCTGGGGAAAACCAACAAAATCCCTTCACCGGCAAATACCCGGGAAGTACAAAATTTCGGAATGTGACACAGGCCACCAAGGCACCGGGAGACATGACGGCTCCTTCTTCTGCAGGGTCTGTCAGCAGCTCGTTCTCCCTCTCAGATGACCATACTTCTCGAAACATAGTCCCTAGGGAAGACTAAAACTGCCTTAAAAGTCTCTCTGCCACACTCCCCGTCCCTTTGAAACACACTCCCGATTTCATAAGGTGCAGGCAATTTAAGCATTGATGTCTCCCAGCAGCCTCCCTACAGCCGCAACGTACGGAGTGAAAGGCCGTAAAAGCCAAGCAGTATCAGAGACATCGACCTCATTTGAGAGGTAAAAATTAATCCCCTCTGCCCTTCTCACTGCCCCCAAACCAAGCACCCCCACACCACCTCTTTCTGAACTCACCACCACCACACTCTGCACCTAGCACGGAATGATCCGGAGGGGAAAAGCAGGCAAGCTCCTCAGGGTAGACCAGAGGTGCCGACTGCCACGCTGGCCGTGCAGAGGCAGGCTCAGCACACCCCTCCTCCCGCTATGGCTGCGTCCCGCCTAGGCGCTGGGCCGCCTCAGCTGCCTCCCGCTCCGCGGCCACGTGTCCCAGACAGCCCCAGATCCCCAGCAGAGATTCTGGAAGTCTCCTCCTGGCATGTGCCTTGCAGGTTCAGGGTTAGGAACAGTTTTTTCCTACACAGGAGGAGGCAGCCAAGGGGGAAGGCAGCGACTGACCACCAGCATGTGGAACCAGGCTGCTAGTGGAGCACCCTCTGGGTGGGCTTCTTCTGTGGGGTGGGGAAGAACAGGACGGGAAAAGGCAGGGTTGTGGAGAAGTCGGAAAAACAACACAGCTTGGTAGCTCGCCATGCATTCAATAAGCCTGAACTATTTTGCCACCCTCAGATTGAGTGGGAATACTTTTTTTTCTTATTTGAGTGGTGTTAAAAATAGTCATTGCAGCCTACCAATGCGTAAGCTCTACTGCCTCGGTTTTACCAATGCGTCGGCACAACTGATGATTCAGTGAACACATTCCTGTCCTCTACACCTGACTTACTAATGAACAGTTGGACACTCAATAATTAGTTAGGCGTTTGGGCTGAAGACTCACAGGAGCAAGAAAACACATGATTTTCTAACATACTTGTGGAGTAACTTGGATTTTGCTTAGTTGCAAAATGATAAACAGCTCTGTATGGAATTGATATAGTTCAGGTAGAGGCATGTCAGATGTCCACAAGGTTGTACAGCTCATTTTCATTCTACATCTAAATAAAAATTTCTCAAGCTTTGGGTCTGTAAAGGCCACCTTCACAGACTGCAGAGCTGGTTTTGGTAATAGTACATCATCTTGTTGAAAAATAAAATGCTTACGTTAGGATGACTGCATTTTACCTTATCATTAACAGTTTCAGGCTTTAAAACACACAGATTTTCAATCGAAAAAGCTCAGTTTTAAAACTCACTGGGTATCTACTTTCTTAATGCAGACCCACATATGCTTTGAAAATAGCAACCAAGAACTACCCCAATTACAAAGCAAAGCTAATCTAACATAGATAATGTAATTTGGTTTTAGAAAGGACATCAATTCATGTAAAACGCTCAGTTTTACCAGCTATGAAAGACTAAGTCAAGTATTAAAGCCAGGCAAATCAAAACCACATCAGAAATCATACGAACCGTGACGCACAACACTGCTATTTGTTTGAAAACAAAAGGTTCCACTTAACCAACAGGTTCTTGGACATTTTCACCTTTAATAGATGACCCAGATAGAACATGGTGTTCCCCATTCTCCAAAAAATAAATTCATACCTTTTAACCAGCTTATTTCACTTGCCTTTAAAGGTACGGGCTTTTTGGTGGGTTTTTTTTGTCTTTTTGGTTGGTTGGTTGGGTTTTTTTAGTGGTTTGAGTTTTTTTTTTTAAACTATGTGTACATTACTAATGTGATTTTTAATCCCATTATTTATACAACAGTGACTATTTGAAACAGGTTTTACAACAACTTTTACAAGAAGTCTGGTCTGGATTACTGCTAATCACAATTTCTTTTTTAAAAGAAGTTGTTCGCAACATACGTAGCGTGACACTATTTGCTAAAACCACTAACCACCATTTCACCATCTGGACTATAGTTCCAGCAAGTGTAACAACCCTAGTGTTGTGCTTAGAATAATAATGTTTAGCAAACTTTGGATAATTTACTTACAAGCCACAAGCTGAAGAACTGGGGAGCCAAATTTACTTCAGGAGAGATATATCCTGATTACTGCCAGTTAAAGACCCAAGGTTTTTGCTCTTTAGACAGAGCTGTTGCTGGAGCATCAACAGGAGCCACTTCTCAGAACCGTACTTGTTTTGGAGTTTGTTGGATAACTGTCAAGTGAAAATAGCTGATTTTCAGGTTACCAATACAGTTTTGCACTTTAGACAACTCCTGTTATGCACCTCAGTGACAGCTGTTAGCAGGGACTGCAGACCAGTGCTTTGGAACAACACAAGCTGCGGCTAACTAGCATATTAAAAATTAATTGTTACATGTGAAATGAACAGGATTGCTCGTGTGCTCACAGGCTGATCACATATATATACACCACACGGATTTGTCTACCAGGGTGTCTGGAAATTGTCAGTTACTAAAGATTTAACCTAAGCTCTAGTTTTCATACACTGCATGTGCATGTCGAAACTCTAAATTAAGAAGTGAGTTTAGATCTCCTCATTTACTCCTTTGAGAGTGCAATGCACTCAGAGAGTCCTCCACATGCCAGTTACGCTGACAGCAACAGAAACACGGCATGGCTCCTATTCCAACCAGTTTGCAGAGTCGCCTTCCAGAAATCTCTCCGTGCCCTTCAGCACAGCATGTGGAGATAATCCTTGTATTGCAGAAACATATCAAAAAGAAAAATAAATTCTTTGCAGAAGTCAGCTGAAACTGTTGGTGAGCTTACAACCCGTCCAGCTGATGGAACTGGAGTTTACATGGAATTTGACAGCTTCCTGGAGAGAGTTATGTACAGCTGTAACAAGGACTTCTCCACGGGATTTAAAAGACCCATCAACTTGATGCAGTCCCGTGGCCCGCATGGTACCTGCATGTTCTGCTTAACTTACTCTTTTTTTTAGTTTAGATACTTCTAAGCCTTACATATGCAAAGCAGCTACAACTCTTACCTCCCCCTGTTTTCAAACTCACTTAACAAAAACAAGAGCCTCCTCCTCACCAAATTTCATTAAGGTGCCACCTCTTATCCCCACCGACAGATTCAGTGGATGTGTAGGAAAGAAAGCGGAGCCCAATGAAACAAGATTTGGTGACTGCTGCTGCTGCTGCAAAAAAAAGAATCAATAAGAGGTTAACACCTGTAAGAGTGAGGAGGGGTGAAGAATGAAAGGGAAGGCACCAAAACAGTCAACAGTACTCCTAAAAAAAATAAACTTCAGCAACGCTGAATGAGATGACTGGAACGTAACACATGTAGAGGCAGCAACTGGACACGTGTAGTGCAGCCATGGACTGCATGGGCACTACAGTGCACACAGAACATGAAGAGGCTTTCAGTGTGGGGTTTTTAGCTTTCTCATTTGCTGACTATAAATAACTACAAAGAGCAGTATTAACCCAACTGTCCATGATTCAGCAGTGGCTAGATACAGAGAAGGTCTGGCTGATAAATTCAAGAGGAAGCATTATTTTGAACATCCTTAGTTTTGTCTTTAAAACTCGATTATTCAAGATTATACCACACAAAAAAACCCCACCAAAACAGCTCCCTCGCAGCCTCGCTGTAAAACCCAACCTACATAGTAAGCAATTCATACTGAACTTTCAGCAGAAGAAAAACAAGATTCAAAGTCAAAGAAACTTCTTTCTCAGCTGTGACTAGAGGATGTTTCCAGGCACAAACTAACAGCTGTATTGTTGAGATACAAGTTTTTATCCTGTATTTTGAGTTAAGGTGTCTTTAAAACAGGATTACCTAGAAGGTAATTTCCAAAGCTTTGTATTCATCATTTGTTCCCCCTAGATGTTTAAGCAGGCAGGTGTGTAACACATGCATTTGTCAGGTTCTTCGTGACATTTTCATACTTTAACACTCGGTATGAATGATCAAGTATCAACTCAATAGTTGTGAATTTTAAAAACAAAATTCAGAAGCCTTCTGTTGTGGAAGTTTTAATACAATAAACTGTTTTGGTTGGCAGGGAGGGAGGAGCCAGGACACAGACTTCTTTCTATGTATATATAGAGATCTAGGCAGTGCTCTCCATTTGCATTTTATGTCACATTTTTACTGGTTTTGAGAAGTGGTATCCACTACAAAGACACGAAACAATGTCATAAAACCTAAGTTCACACAATTTATATTTCAACATCTCAATCTTTGGCAACACGACTTTAAAACAGGGCTCAAATTGCTTTTCATAGACCACACCTCTGTCCTCCTAACTAAACTGGTTAAAGGGCAAGTAATCTTAAAGAAGCTGTGTTAGCATACACAAAGATATTGAAAGAAATGCCTCTCAAGTAATTAAAAAGGAAAACTCTACAGTCTAAAAGGTACTGATTGAACAATACCACTGAAAAGCTACAAAATATTTTAGCAGAGTCAGAACAACCCAGGCTATGTTGGTTTGTTTGGGTTTTTTTTCACAGCATCCTTTCAAGAACCACGACCTTTTGCATTTAATGACGTTCACATTTACCACCAAACAGGACCTGCAGTAGGTGTGGACCCAGCTCGTGCCTCTGTCTCTTTGTTTAGTTAAAGGGCGTGTTGGCCTCGCACAGTGCTGTTTGAATAAACAGAGAACTGTGCACAATCGAATGCAAACCCACCCTTTTGACGTCAAATATTTCCCAAGATAAACAGCCATGTTTTATGAACCTGGGTCTTCTGGGATATTTGTGACCAAAAATTAGAGAAATACCAGATTTTTACTTAATCCCAGTTCACTTGGAAACAAGATAAATGTAAGCACCTGATCTTTCACTGGAAGGGCATTACTGTACTGTCTTACCTTGAAGTACTTCCATTGGAAGAACAGTCCAGGCGTTTTCCAGATAGGAGATGTAAATGTATCGAGCTGTATTACAGGCAAGACCAATATAAAGCACTCTAAAGGAAGTAAAGAAAAGAGAAGTCAGGACGTTGGCACTTTCCTTTTTTTTGGTATGTCGTAATACACCGCTTCAGAAGTAATTTGCACGAATACAAACAGTGTGCCAGTCTCAAGGAGTTGCTCAACACAAAATACATACTTTAAGTGCACTTACAGTCCTTAAGGGCAAGGGAGTCC